CACATTTTGGAAATTACCAGCTATATATCAAATTGTTGAATATATCAAGCAAACAAAACGAAGCAATTACTCACTTAACTATAATTTAAAGGTTGAAACCACACTGCAAGTTCCGGCTAATTCTAGAGAATGGACTCCTTATCGAAGTACCTCATTGCTGGCCGAATTTCCTGGTTGACACACTACCGTCATAAAAGTTCCGTCAACAAATTTTGTGAAGTACCGTACTTTTCTCCACTTTCCCTTCTCTCTCTGTTCCCCTCCCCTTTTCCTTTTTCTTCCTCTTTCCCAAAAAGTTTGCACAATTTTCCCAAATCTCCACAAAAACAGCGCCACTTTAATCAAATGAATACGACCTCTCTCGGTTCCAGAAACATTAGTAACGACTCCCTTGCTGACAATTGCCCAGCGAACGGCTCACCCTAATGCCTTTACCAAAAAACTCCTAAGAACTATGTATTGGGTTGGCAGATATCATGGCGTCTTTGTTTGAGCGTTTAAAGGAAATCTATATTTATCCGGGAAGGATTTTACCCGAAAAACTGCCTACTATACGAAAGTACTATTTCGGCTGCAAAATTAGGTTTTGTCGCCTTCTGTAAACCTCCAACCGTACCAAGCGATTAGAGAACGGAGAGAGCGAAAGTTCGGTGCTTTTGGCGAGTACTAATCTTTGGTTTTCAGGAAGGCCAATTGGCGCCTGAGGACATTTGCTCTATGGCGTAAAAATGACAAACAAATCAAGTACATAGAAGGGTTTTATCAGATTTGCCAAAAAGTAATTTCGACAAGAAAAATATACAGCACTAGAAATTCTATTTCTGCTCGGCAGCACTGCAAAAGAGAAACATCCGTAAAAAAAGGCTTCGACAGAACCCTTCGAAAAGATGGGATGCTTGGAGAAGTTTATCGGGGGTTTCTTCCTGAAATCTCGAGCAGATAGCTACAATGTGATTTTCCCTAACTTTTATAAAAGCTCTACTTCTGAATCTTATCGCGTGACAGAACCCTGCGAAAAGATAGCGATCGCTTGGAAAAGTTTACGGGTTTTTTACTGAAATCTCTCGAGCATAACTTCGTACACATTGAAATTATACCAGCCTTTAAAAAAGCTCCGCCCACTAGTTAGTTGGTGATTTGGACGAGCTGCGTTGCCAGCAGCGGCACAACTGGAGCAACTCGATTGGAGCGTGGTTTGGCATGGTGCCACCAAACGCGTTGCGGTGAACTCGTTCATACGTCCGACTTTACCTGTTCATGAGTGGAAAACCAACGGCCAAAAAAGGGGTCCCGTTTTGCGTTTTCTTGACGGATTTCTCTGCTTTTTTCGCCACTGGCGTACCACTGAGCACCACCTCGTCTCTCTGAACCCTCGTACAAATTATCGTAATCGCTGCCTTCAAGCAAAGTGAAATCAACTCGTCATTAGAATTTTCCTTCGAGGAAATACACTTCTTTTCCGAAATTCTCGATTGTAGGGCGTAGCACGAGGAAAAGCAGTCAGTAAGGGGAAAGGCTCATAGAATCATGCAATTATAAGAAAAGGAGCAGAGTAAAGTGCCTAACAGGCATTCCAAAAACCGCATACAGCGACCGATCACAGTTCTTCGTTTAGGCCACACACATAATGCAAATTCTCTGTGCCTTTCAATGAACGATCACCATTGGTGCAAATGACTTCTGTTGAATTCGGAAGTACTACATTTGAGCGACATTTACAAAGTCATTACGATATCGTAGTCATAGGTGTGGGGACCATAGCTCATTTCTTCTCTACTAGTACAGTTTTGCTCCCTGCTGACCTGAATGTAAAAGAATGTGAACTCTTAATTACTTATTGCTGGAGAACAAAAAAAAGTTTACAAAGAACTGCAGAAGTTTTCGCAAGAATGCGAGGTTATGACCTAAACATCATTTCAAGCGGAAATCCAACCCGCACCTCTACACACACACCACCACAAAGCGACATCCGTGCTCGATTCCCTTTGGCGAAGTTTTGCCTGTAGCCCAGCATTTCTGTGATATCTTTTGTGTGGTAAACTGTGGCCAAGAGTACCTGTCAACAATCGAAAACATTCGCAAGCTGACAAAGTATTTTGAAAAGCTCTTCAAAACTTTGTAAGCCTTTTGGCGAGCTCTCGACGCCTTTGTTGAGCTTAAAATTGACTATATAAGCTTTATTACAGGTTTTTTGTGCTTATTCAACCTCTTTCAAGGGCTTCGAAAAAGCGCAGGGAGCCGCATACTAGACAAAAAAGTAATAGTTGAGACCTCTCATGGTACTTGCAAAAATCAGAGTACAAAGTTGAACACATTGAGCCAAGCCTTCCCCACTGATTCCGGTAGAGCACGGTTTCACACCCAAAATGTAATTCTTTGCATCACCTTCAATCCTCCTCTCTCTCACAGTCGTGCGTATTGCGTTCGTGTGCTCAATTTTTTAGTGTTGAAGCAGGGTTTATGAAAGATGTCTAGAGAGGTCCACCGAGGAGCGTGAGAAGCGAGTGTTAAACTGGTACCCAAGCGAAAATAGCCGGGGAATTCGTGCCAGAAGCGCAAAAATGAAGACCGTCTTTTGACGGAATGCGGAGTTTACCGCTACGCGTTTGGTGACACCATGCCATAGCCAATCGAGTTGCTCCAGTTGTGCGCTGCTGACAACACGGTTGGCTTTTGGGGGCGAAGTGGTTAAATCCTGCTCAGCAACGAGTGCACCTATTCGTCATGAAAGTGCCATACTTCCTCCTTGCCCAACTTCGGTAGCGCATTCGCTTCGGCCCGATGCGCTTCGTCTTTATCGTAATCTGGTTTTCATCGAAATAACCCGACAAATTACTGTTCAGACATGGACCCTGCAGATAGTCCTGTCCGATGAGTGCTTTCTCACAGAGTCAGACACAAGCCACTCGCCCTATAAGTCCATTATTCACACGGGGTCATCTGTTTGAAAAAAAGAGATGGATCAACCATACTTGGATGGGGTAAAGTCTACCTAACAAAGAAATTAGTGATCAAAAAGCGCAAATACGACGAAAAATTGCCCGATTTCTGTTATCGGTACGTAGAGTCTGCGCGAGGCACGAAAAAAAACTGGATAAAACACGATAATATCAGATAACCCCACACATCGCTTGCCACGATTTCGAAGCGCGGTTGCTCGTTGGCCCAATTTTGCATGCTGTTTGTGGGATGCAATTTCGTGGGTCATGTATGTTACGAAACGCCTGACCGACCCGACATTTGTTGATTAGCCTTCACCTTCATGATTTGAAGCATCGAATCTTTAACATCTTACATGAAGCACTTTTGTAGACCACAAGAGATAGCAATTCATCAAATGATTTCGTTTTGAGGAATTGTCTGTCGTAGACCGAAATAAAGCCGTAAATTCAAAACAAGTTTTGAAATTTCGGCTTTACCATGAGTTTCTGTCAAGGATTTTGTTTTGTCAGACGATCCTTGGAAATGAACTTGATGTGCTGTTAAGACGTTGAAAACAGGATCATTTTAGAACCTTTCAATACAAAAACACATCTATGTAATTATATTTGTGGATTTCTTATCCATTTTTCGTATCATTATAAACTCGTAGACCAAAGTGGCATTACTATTTGAAAAAATACCCTGGAGCAGGGCAGCAATGTCCTTGAAGTTTTTTTTTCTTTCTGTGATGCGCAGTGCATTCGATTTCCATTCAGAATCGTGGTGACATTTGAATGCGAGTTGTCCCACACTATAAAATGCGAGGAGGGGACAAGATGATGTACAAGTTAACATTTTTTATGCTCATAAAAATCTGCTACCATAAACAGGTGCAGAGGGATGAAAATGAGAGGTGTACGATGGGGATTGAACCCTGACCGTGAGGGTAACAAGCAGTGGCACTTACCGCTTCACCACCTCCGCCGATTCATAAATGTATATGTTAATAATTGTAGTTCTGGGTCAAGGACATAACAAAGTCTGTGTGGATTACATTTTTACCATAACTTAGCAGCAAGAGAGAAGGATTCGTGCTGGCCGGAATCGCTTATTGGAGGAGGTATACGTAAGGCCGACCACCGCCTTCGCCCTCGCCTTCTCTCTTGAAGGCCAAAATTACGGGGTGGGGTCAAAAAGAGTCAGCTGGTCCAAAGAGCACATCTGAAAATCACTCCCGTTACCGTCCTCAGAGTACTCTCCCTTCAAAAAGCGAGAAAGCGTCGGGTGCAGACCATACACCACAAGTGACGACGGCCTCACAAAATGTAAATGTTTTCTGCCAATGAAATGATTAGCCTGTTGCAGTTGTATTCTATCAGTTGTCACTAATTACAACTATCATTTACCAAAAATCAGCTATCACTATGAACCACTACTAACCAGATTTACTTGGAAGCAGGGTCAACCCTACGTTGTTACGAGTAACAACGGGGGGTCG